TACCGATGTATTATTAATATATCCAATTGATTATTACTGTTTGTATACAATTAAGTGCATCTAATTTTCAGCTTTAAAGAGCATATCCACAATTAAAATAAAACTTATTACTAGCTTATTTATGGTAGTACGAACTGATAAGCGTAATACTTTCTATAAGAGCTTCCATGTGTATTGGATTAAGAGAAGAATTATATTACTTCTACAACACGATAGGCCTTTGCCGTTTATAATGGCTAATATAAGATTGGTATTGATTAATTTCGCATCACATTAATGATGAAAGTACTGATACTGAAATGTCTGTACTTGTTTACCAAAATGCAGATACAGCTTTTAATGATCTTATCATGAGAAATTTTAGCGTCTTCCATACATTTACGATATAGAATAGTAGAACGTTATCAAATAAGATCTAAGAGTTGATGATGTAGTGTTGATTTTTAAATGCAAAGGTATACTAGAATATTTTTGACGTAACTGAAAGCTTAGTAGAGAAAGTATCATTTTAAAAATACATTATTTACAGCAGTCAAGGTTAAATTTTGCTTCATATTTTATTACGTTTTTACACGTCATCGACGCGTTTAACGATCAAGCTACCACCCATTTATAGGATTACCTACAGTATATCATTACGCACTGTTCGAAAAGTATTTGTTGACCTCACAATTTCTATAGCATGTCTGGAGATTACAACAGGTGAGTTGTTAAACGATAAAGCTACTATGATCAATACTGCTCTATATCTTAACAATCCTCAAAGGTTGTTGAATTATGCTAATACGAAATTACTTTGATCCCCAAAGGTTATTGAATTGTTATGCTAATACGAAATTACTTTAATTCCCAAATGCTATTGAATTGTTATGCTAATACGAAATCATATTGAACCCCAAAAGTCATTAAATTACGATGTTACTACGAAATCACGGCAATCCCTAAAGTTAATTGAATTATGATGTTAATACGAAATCATTTTTAATCCCCAACAGCTATTAAATTATGATACTAATACAAAATCACCATATTCGACCGAAGAGAGTTATTAGTTTCGTCTGTAATTAATTATTGCTCTACTATTCTAAAACCTTGTAATAGAAATATTTTCGAAAAAATTAAATTTGACGAAGACAGTTATTTGTGAGCTTCTTTTATTACAATGATTATCAGCTCGGTTATTTTTTAACGATTACTTAGCTTTGTAAAGTTAGCATTAATTAGATGACGTTGTAAATAAGTCCATTACTTTGGAAAATTATTTGACTGAGTAAATGTGACCTAATAGTTACGTTACTGAAGGTCATAATTATTCAATACTGCTAATTACATTTTATCTCCGCATGGTACTTTTACGTCTGGCTGTGATATAAAGAGTAGAAATTGAATAGAGTCAATTCAATCAGCAGAACAAGTAGAAGTGAAAACATAATACATTAATATACCGAAGCCAATAAGACCGTTGTAAACATTGTATTCTAACTTTAACTACTTGTGCCACAATTATCATAAAATTGGGATAAATATCACTTAAGATTCATTTATTAATATTTTCTTAATGCCGATATAGACTCATTGATTCTGTTGTAAAAGACTGTGGACAATTCTATGTAGATTTAAATACGAAATGGCCCAAATTCGAGTAAGGAAAATAATTCTTATCCAATTTCACTAAATTGAATTGTCATTTAAAGTCATGTTAACTATTAATATTAACGATTCTAGTTTATTGTATTTACGATTCTGAGCAAAGAATTGATCCTTTCTTTCGTATTTTATTTTACATAACAAATGTATTCTCAGAACCATCTTATCTTTATATTATTGTTATTCCTGTAATTTTAATAAGCTATTAAGTAATTAATCATTACGCTCTAATAATACCATTAATTTCATATCTGATTCCAACGACTGTCAGTAATAGTTATTAAGTTTATAAGCTTTCCACATTGAATCTTTAGCTTTGCAAAGAGGAATTATCTAAGGTGCTCCTTGACTGCTGTTTCTGATAAAATTTGTGATATGATATTGATATTACCAAAACAGCAGGCTGGAAATGTAGAGTACTCTTGCGAATTGACGTAGTTATTAACAACGCCGAGTTAACTCCTATGTCGCAGGAATAGTTATGGTAATCTATTTTCGTAAAAATAAAATCGTAATGATTTTCAATACGATATATGATAAACCAGATGACAAATTACTGTAAGTACCCAACTCTAGATGGAAGAGCTATAACCCCTAAATGACTTACAATATAATCTCAAATTAATTTTCATCTACTTTTTATCTACAAACGTCTTTTGGCTAGTAGAACGAGCTCTCCTGCTATAATCATTATTGATAGCGAACTAAAAATAAAGTGTTCTATGTTTTCCACTCCTTTTCTGATGAAATTCGCCTATCGTATTTTATACTATTGCTATATTTAAGATGTGATCACTTCTCTGTATTGGATAGATTGATCATATATTATGTTCTACTGTTATAGTATACAATAACATTGATTTGTTAGTGTCATACTAGTGTATTTTTTTACAATAATTGTTGTTATTTGTGAGACCATCCACAATATAGATTATAAGCTCTATTATGAAATAATCGTACTAAGTTATTAACTTTGTCTCTCATAGTAATCTGTAGGTACCTTAATCTGTTTGCGCTAAACTTGTCTACTTGTCAACAGAGTAAGAGAATGCGATTTAAATGAGCGCATCTCTTACCTTACCAGGAATTTTTTTCCTGCTGTTCCCTCTGAATATTGTCTATGTTCTTTAGGTCTAAATAAACGTAGTCATTCAATTTCTTCTCAACCCTGTTCTCTGAGATTTAACCTTGTTACAAATACCGACGTTGTGTGACATTGCCCTATTCGATAATGTTTTCTCTAACCGACCCAAGACCGTATTATGCACCATGATGCAGTGGCATTCTTTCCTAGACGACTTAGGTAGACCTTGGATCGTAAAACCTAATAATTATTGCAAAATTTAGTGATAATGCTAACATTAGGTGTTTAGTTAGCTAGTATTCGGTCAGTTCAGAATACATACAGTCAAAATGTTATATTTACATAATTCTCTATCATGCCATACGACGTAATATACTTTCGTTAATTTTGCTAAACTTCCAAATTATTATTTAATATCATTCAAAGGTGTAGTTTAAAGTGAGATACTCTACTTATTTCACTTTGTACTGAAGAGTAGCATTTAGTAAGCATTGAAAACTTTAAAGAATTAATGATAGTGTAAATATTTCATAATATCAAACTTTTTAACTCTAACTTAACTCTAACTTTTAACTTTGTGCATTCGGAATTAGCCTAGTTAATTATACTACTCAATTTAACTTTTTTAGAAGTAGTAAGTAGACCGGTGTCGTACTTACATTAAAGAAGAAAAATATTTTAAGATAACTTTAAAAAGTTTTGAAAGGGCATTACACTGTAAGAGCTGCGTCCCTAGCTACAGTATATATGTAATTAGTAGCCAAGAAATATTGGCAATTAAACCAATGTAGAAGTTTATAAACATGAAGACTATGTCTTACATAATTACACACTCGTCTTCATGTTCTGGTGATCACAAACAAAAAGTCTTGTAATCGTATCGATTAAAGTTCGCTATTTAGTTCTGTATCTCAATAAGCCTATTTGGATCAAACCGAACTGTAAATTGGGCTCATACTCGTATGCAATAAGTACGATAACTACATTATTATTTACCAGCTTGAATTAAATGCAATTTATTAACCTATATCTGCTCTATTGTCTCAAATGTAATGATAATAATAATGATTGGAACAGTTAACATCAACTTCATTCCTCTGTGCGCATAAAATCCGTGATTAGGTAAGGGTATAGCCAAACAGCCAATATTGATAGGGCAGCTTTTTCACAATGATAAACAAGAGAAGTACTTTCAAGATGCCATATGATGCCATCTATCCTAAAATTTATGGTAGTAAGGATAATTAATTATTAAATCTTACCCTACGAATATGTTATAAACTTGAAGCATACGAGATGAAAGTGCTTTTAACATGCTGTATGATACCATATACCAGTATCCTGAAATTTGTGATAGTAACAGTAATTATTATATTTTACCATACAAATACGTTTTAAAGTTGACACATACGAGAGTGCCGACTCTAAAAGTTGGCGACAAGAAAATAAATTAGAAGGAAGAGAAATCCGGGTGAGGATGGCAAACTTACTATTGTTCAGATTATGTTTTCAGTTTATTAGTATTCTGTTGTAGCATCTCACAGAGTGGCAATTTCTCTTAAGAGCTTGATGTAAAAATACGCCGATTATTCGTTTCTTGTCACTGAAGCAGCGTTAAAATACCGTCGTCTGTCTAAAAGTAGATGACAACTTATTCTTTTATCCAAACATATAGCAATTTGTTAATTATAATGTGCCGTATCGCGAACTTTGAAATTTGAAATGGCTGATGTTGAAAAATAAAGAAAAATTATTATTCTAATATTTACTGTTTTTATTCTTGAGGTACTGCTATCATATTGAGATACAAATACGAATAGAATCAAAAATTTCAAATTTATTTAATTGATATATAATAGCTTGAACCGCAAGGCTAAATTAGGTTCTGACTTGTGACTGAGATTTTAGCAATAAGATAATGGATTATATAATTATCAACTGTCCGGCTTACACCTAATAGTTTAATAATGTAGTTACAGTATAGTAGACGAATTTAAAAAATAGTAGCAAATAATTCTGTAGCAGTAAAATCTGTTATTAGGATTTTACTTCATACGTAGGACTGATATATTTATATTATCTTCTGTAGCGATTTATAAGACGCACGACTTTTTATAGCGATAAGACTGCACAGTCACATTATGAAATAGTAATCACAGTACTTGCAGGAAGAAAGCTTTAATCTTCTATAGAGCAAAAATCTCAATCATGGAAGTGATAACTGTGATTGGCATAGCCATTGGATCTGATATTGGGGTCAACGTAGTAATTATATAGTCTCGGCTTTTCTTTCAATAGACCATTCAATATCATCAATAACTTTCAAAGCTGCATCTGGTATTCTTGTCCCTAAAAAAATATAAGCAGATTCCATTTAAGTAAGACTACCAACGAATTACAATGATATTCCTAACATGATTTAAACGAAAATTTATTGACAACTTATTTTCGTCTATACCTGGTCCAAACACGCTCTTGGCTCCACTCTCGTATAACTTATCGTAATCTTTAGGAGGTACTACACCATCCACAATAACAGTAATATCTGGCCTGCCGGCATCTGCAAGAGCTTTAACTATCTCAGGGACTAATCAGACACAACAACAACCTTTACCAACGCAATCTCAGGTACAATCGCAGCAACAACAACCGCCGCCTCCACTACTACAACAACCACCACCAACACAGCAAGCTTCACCAAATCCTCCCTATCAACAGCCCAGTGGCTATGCTAGTAATGTACTATCGCCTCAACCTATTCAACAACAACCTCCCAAATTTTATGTACCAATAGCCACACCTGTTCCTGCTCTGCCTCCTCCACCTCCTGCGCATCAACGATTAACACAGCATCGTTTACTTCACTGGCAACAGCATCCCAACAAATTCCTACAGATGCTGTTATTCCAGCCAATTACTCTATAGCACCAGGTGCAGCCATACCAGCTGCTGGATAAATGATGAAAGCTCACCCTAACCGCCATAGCCATCTATCAACGACATCCAATTTAGGACAACCAGCACCGCCACCTTTACCTCCTCAAGCAACGGTCATCAGACTTCATCAACCGCCACGCTAAATACTTCTAAGTGGTAAACCTGCACCTTTAGCGCAAGTTGCACACTATCCTCATGGCATGATGACACAAAATATGGACTCTTATCGATTAATAGAACGGAAACAAATGTTAAGTAACAATTTATATTTAATGGTTACAGAAATATGTGGCAATGAGCGAGCCAGTATTGTAGCTGGTATGCTATTACAGCACGACCATGCTGAAATTGTTAAAATGTTAGAAAATGAAAAGAAATTAGCTCAAAGAGTTCATGAATTATGTAATATTTTGGATGCTAATGCGAAAAAGCGTATGCGCTAGCTCCAACGAACGTCAGCGGTAGGTAATACGACGTAAATGGTTCTAGTAATTTTTGCTACTGAATTATTGTATATATAATGACGACGATTTAATTTCCTACCAGATGGACATCTTAATATCAAAGGAGTTAGTTACGATTGAAATTATTGAAATACAATACGATGAGCTCAAATAAAAGGCTTGGATAAAGAGTAATTTAAAAGTGATATTTTTTGTAAGAAACAGATGAGAAAATTTCGTCAAAGCTAAAAAGTTTAATCCTGCAGTATTCGACGCAAAAGAATGGCATTGCGCAGTATCGTCCTAGCAAATCTAATATTAAAATACTCCTGATGTTATTATCAATAGTGATGTCTTAATAGAGGAGGTATATTTTATTCATTTCACGTTTCTCTTGGTGCTAATCAGAACGGAAGGTAATCGAATGAATACCTTTGCGAACTGATGATTAAAACTACGCTGACTCATGCCACTACAGCATTATAGCAACATCCGTTTTTTGACGATACCATCACTTTTATCACGTTGTCAATGATAACTGATACGTTGTATAATTTCTATCAACCTTGTGGACCTTTGTACTAATCGCTAGCGATTGGCTAATAGATCAAAATATACAAGAAACGATTTGCTAGAGTTGCTACGATCAAGTGACGATGAGTACGAAATGGAGCGTTATAGGAGCTCAAAACATCTGGCAATTAAGCCTACACCAAATTTTCCGTTGACGGAAATCGTTTGTGATGATGTTACCGTCACATCTGTAGAGATATCAAGTTACGGCTAGGTTGAAACTGTCAATGGTGGAAAGAATATGGTATCAAATTTGGTCACAAAGTGATCTCTACAGTTATGGTGTGTAGTTCCTAATGATATTGATATCTACATGTTTATGCTAAATCGTTAAATGCAGTCAAGCCAGAAGGCGTATTGCATGCCATCCATTAAAACAAGTAAAATTTTGATCGCATGGCATATTTTTAAGTTACTCTATAATAGAAGATGAGGAATTAGATGGTAGTGATAACGTAACGAATGATTTAACCCTCTCTCCTATTGTACGGTACCATGATTGGTATGGCCAATTTCAATTAATGGTTAGCCACTAGTATTGCTGCAATCTATTTATATTATTAACATAAAGTATTTATCACGACTTTCTGCAGGATATTGGCAATGCAGTGGTAGGAGCGACTTTTTATTTATAAATTGACCATTTTTAATATCCTAATTTTTAGTATCGTAGCGCTAAGATAAAGCAGTGTCTGTGTATAAAGTTTGTAGGTTGATTCTCAGCTACATGATACACTCGAATGTATCATGAATAGCTATTCACTGTTTTGAAACCTATTCCAGTCTACAAGTTTCCATTATTGCTACAAGATCTGACGTATCACAGTTTGAAATAGATTCGTTGTGTTAAAAAAAATTGGTTAATTTGTGAAAGATACGCTTTACTTGCTTGTTTTATACTTCTGCTTACCCATTAGCGGTATCACCTTCGTAATGAACGAGTACTACATTACTGTACAGGGTCTATCGATTAGTAGGTAGCCTGATAGCTACAATCGTACTTCTGTTGCTGCAATTTTGAAAGTATACTGCGTTAATTAGATATGCAAAAATTTTCATAAACTTTTATCACATCAGCTGTCCTTTATACAAGAGTTTGAAATCAATGCGATTATTTTTGCATTAACAGAAGTACTACTATCGAACCCCTTCCTGAATTTGTCATACAAATTGATTAATGTAAATCAAGTATTTATCATATTATACGGTTGTTTTAGTGATTAATCCTTTGTCATGGACTATCTTGTTATGTCTAAGTCATGATTTATTTAATATCGCTTTTTTCAAAGTAATGTTTCCTGCAAATTATGCAGGATCATAGTTAAAAAGTGTCCTTTCTGTAATACTACCTTGTATTCGTTAATATTATCTTATGCTAACAAGTTAGGCGCAGTACAACAGGTTACTGTATTCTTACATACTTAACACAGAGCTCAAAATGCACTGCTCTTGCTTCTTGTTAGATTTGTAATATTTGATTATTATGAGATCATTTTTACTAACGCAAATTTGGTGTTATTTCTAAACAAATACCAATATACTGTTAATATTTACTTCTTATTTTCAAGCTTTATCCGCAAAATACTCATATTTTAACGCTAAGTGGCAAATGTGTGTATTTTATAGAGCTGTAACAAGCCTTATGTCCAGGCTATCGAGATTTCATTACCACAAGCTATATTAGATATTTTCTTATTGACCAAATTAAAGCTCTTGAGTTGTTTATTAACCGCATCTTCATCATTTCCTACCGGCCCAATTTCTTGACTACCCCAAATGTAAACCTACAATATGTAGCAAAATTCAGGTAGAAATTAAACGATAAGAAATGTTAGTAGATGGATGAGGTATTCGAGATTTATTTTATTTCCGCATGCATTCTGATAGCTAATTAAAGCTTTTGTGTTTCTGTCATGACTATAACATAGTTGATTTACCTGTCCATTTTCATCTATAGCCAACGCATGGAACAAGCTAGCCACTACTTTTTGATTTTTCACCCTTTAAATCACCTTGAATTTGCCTAGGCTTTATAATTACTTTTTCATTTCCAAGTCCTAGCCTAAAGCGATCGCCAGAACCCCTGCTAAAAATAACATACTGTTCTGTCACGTTGAACTTATATTCTTTCTTTCTTGATAAAGTAGGCGAACGTTAACGTCTAAATAAAACAGGATTGACTGCAATTATGGTCAGATCTGGTTAATAGATAACGTACCACGCCCAAACCTTCCCAGTCGCACTCACTGCAAAAGATGTTGCATAGCCGCAAGCAACATTTGTTATACCTTTAAAGAAGAGGGCTTCAATTTTTGTAGGCATACAGTATGATGGCATTTTGACTCCATAGCCTAATTCGCCATTACCACCATGGCCCCACGACCAAACATCATCACCAGCTACCGCGATAGTATAACATTCTCCGCAAGCAACAGCCATGATATGCTTACCGTTTAACGACATTATCTTTTGCAAAGTGAAAACGAAGAAGAAATCAAATCAATAATTTAGACAAAGTAAGCTACAAGGAGTTAATGGCAAATAAAATACCAGGAAAATTTTCTTGTTATTTAAGCGATTAATATTTACCTTCGGTAGTAATTGCGCCAGGTTATTCCCATGAACACATGCTCCGTTTGAACCATCTCCCCAACTAAATATTTTACCATCCGATAGCACGGCTATACTATGCATTGCTCCACAGGCAATTTTCGTAACTTCCTTTGATTTTAACTCATCAATCAATGTAGGGTCCAGATATCCTCTAACAATAACCAAGAAAGCACGGAAAAGGATACATTAATAAAACAGAATTGGATAACTATTATCTTTAGCTTACTCGCCGAATTAGAATTAAACAACGTTATACACATATAATAAATTATCGAATATCGAAGCGACAAATTATAAGAAATGGTATCTTTTGCTTCTTACAGCGTATTTCCATGGCCGAGTTGACCGCGATCACCGCAACCCCACGAATAAACTATACCTTCGGCTGTTAGAGCCATTGCATGTCTGCCACCTGGATGAATAGCGACCGTGGTTACCATCACTGGTAAAAGTTGGGGAATCTGTCTAGGTATATTAACATCATCGCAGTTTCCTAAACCTAGACAACCCATATGCCCTTTACCACAAGCAAAAACGCCACCATTTCTCGAAACAACAAACAAGGAGTCATATCCACAAGCGATATCAGATGGATCCAGATTTTCTAGTAGCTTACTTTTATCAGGTTCGAGCGGATTCTGTCAATTAAAATCCCAAGTCATATATTAGCTACCGATTCAATCTTCTCTAATTGCCCTTACTACAATTATTCTTCAAATCCCAATATGGGATGTGCTTCTACGTATATTAAATTAAATACCCGTCAATAATCACATTTTCTAGTAGACAAAGTGAACTGCGAAAATCTCTTGGAGATCCAAATTATAGTGCTTGGAAATACGACTGTCATGTTATGAGAAATGGAAAAAGTAAAAGTACGATGACGTTCGTATAGGGTAACACAACTTGGAAAATCTTTAATATATGCATCACAGTAAATAACGAATGCCTACTACCGTAATTAGTTATTAATTAGACCCTGAATAGAATTCTAGACTACTGTCATAATGATTGCAAATACGTGCTTACAGGCATTTTATCATACTTGATAAGCCCTAAGTCTCTGATTCTAATCATACGTATATTGCCTTACCTTTTCATCTGCCGCCAAGAGTAAATTCCGTTTACTTCCCCACACATAAACTTTAGAGGGTTGTACCCTCATCTCTTTATATGGATCTTTAAAGCAATACAATAACTGTTAGCATAATAAACTAAAACGAGAATTTGTTTCTGTTTAATTCAGTTGAACCATAGACAAATTAGACGGATCACGTTCTACTGGGTTCACGAAATGCATAAAAATGTTATAGTGGCAGCAGCCAATTTGTCTTTTCCATCGTGCTTATAGCAATAACAACTGTGCTGCTAATAAAGCGCACAGAACTAAAGTATTAAATCATTAATGAACATCGCATCCTTTCTCGACTAGAGAAATAGTATCCAAAAATCATGAAAAATATCCAAGTATACGAGTAATGCACTGAATATCAACACAACAAGATACCGTAGCAAGGCGATAATTAATTAACATTATATTAGTAATGTAGTGCATTTCAAGTAGAAGTGAAGGTGATCTCAAACAAATTTAACTTCTAAACATTGTAGATTATATAAGAGTAATTAAAATATACTGTATATTATATGTATAAATGATTAGTGCATATTCTCAACAGCATATCCATTATAGATTATACTAAAGTATGATTAAAACATTGGGATATCACTTAGCTTAACATAAGTACAAGGTGTAGCAAGAACCCTCTTTTTGCGGAAAAAAGGGACTGATGTAATTGTTACAGTAGGAAAATAGTGAGATGTTTCGTATTACAAAACTTTGCTATTAAAATTACATAACAAATAACAGTGAAATCTAAATGATGCGTCTTCATAGATGTTTTTATATTTTATCTATTTGATCCATCTTTTGTATTTTATCTTACATATACAGTATGCATTCATTACCATTAATCCCGAATCACACTCTATGCATTACTACTGATTATCATTATAATACAATATCGATGACTACTTCTAAGCCGATAAATAAATAAGGATTGGTCGTCATTTTCACTTATACAACAAGGGTACTGAATATATGGGGATTGAATAACAGTTACAATTTAAGCGAATTTCAGCAGCAAAAGTAAATCTAGCTGAGTGCTGTATTAACTATGATAAATAATTTATCCTTCCAAATATTTTCAATGTCGCAAGTAAAGTCAGATCGAGTATACTACTTTGCACCATTTAAGAAAACAAAAATCATTCAAAGTTTAGACACAATTTACCCTATTGTAATAAAGGTTAATATTTAGTATTCTCCTTCATAGAATATTTCTTTATTTAGTAATGTATTGTAAGATGATTTAAGATTTTAGTGTAGGACTTGCAAGTAATATCCAAATTAGTGTAGATGATAGTGGAAGGATTGTGTCAGACAGTATAATGTTATACCTATTGCAAGACTCACTTAAACGGCTTTTTAATTTATAAAGTAAAATATATTAAATAAACTGGTGTTGTTCCCCTAATCTCTATCTTGGTTCAAAGTGTCACCAACCTTCGTGTATCTTAGCAAAATTAAGCTAAATTATTACACTACGATTCCCTTACAAAACTCTATAAAACCAAACAAGTTAACTATAAAATACATCAAACTTCACTTCTAACATAATTTCTATCATTAATGCACTATAAAAGTCTAAAAACTAACCTTTAAACATCAAGATTTAGTCATAAAAATAACAGTCTAACTACTTAACAATCAACACAACCTCTGCCAATTTCCATCTTATTTTCTATTTTCCTAACTAAACTTTCCTAATGTGACTTTCATGTCACGTCATAAAATTCCAAAGTTTCAAATTCATAACAAAAAGTTCAAATTTCAAAAATCAACTCTTACGATATTTTCCATGAACAAAAATCCAAAAATTAAAACAGGAAAATTATATCGGACATAAGTCCGACCGGTTCCGGAATCCGAATCCCGAAAAATCCGGATTTTACAAAGATCACAGTAATCGCTATATCGCTTATCAAAAAATTTTATATGACTATCACGACTACTTTCTGACATTAGTATCGCTGAGTATTGACAGTTGATGTTTTAGCGTCAGATTATACTGTAACTGTACGATTATAGACTACATTACAGTACTTTACCGTCATGTTATAATTCCCCTTTCTCTAAGGATAGGGTTTTGTTATTAAGTCAAGTTCCTTTACAATTTGAATAGACGATCAAACGCCCTTTCTTTAGATTAGGCAATTGCTCTAGGGCTACTTCTATAGTAATCTATACAATACCTTGTAAACTAATGAAGAAGAAAAGATGGCGACATGATGATTTGGCAGGGTAAAACTTAAAGACAGTATCACTTTCTAGGTATTTTCTCTAGTAAAATAATACTAGTTACATACTAAACGTTATAAAGGACTCTACTTTTAGTCCTTTACTACATTTCATAGTTAGCTTGTGGGTTTTATAGTGTTTTGTAAGGAAATCATAAGGTAAATTGAGTCTGCACTTTGAATGATTTTGTTTTCTTAAGTACTTTTCTAAAATTGATTTTAAGAGTGATTGGTTGGTAAATGTTTAGGTTTAAATACTACTGAGGGCTCTACAAAGCCTATAAACGATAGTGCAATCAGGAAATTTAGAGTAGAGAGTAAAAGAAGATTCTTCTGAAGGACTTTTAGAATTTTAAAGGCCTTCAGGGTTGTAAGTGAAAATGTTCTTCTTTTTATTAGGTTGTTTGGTTGTTGACGGTTTCAGTTCCGTCGCTTTTTATTTCTTCATTTGCAATACTTAGAATTAAGTATCTGAAAGGTTGTTTGATCTATCTCTCTCAGATTTGTAATAAATTGTTGTTCGGTTGTTTCCCCAAATTTTTACTTGGTTTCAAAGTTTCGTTAAGTCAACCAGAGTGCCACGAAAGCAGAATCAAAGTTTGTTAAAAGTTTTGTAGCTTGAGATAGATGATCTATCTAGCTTGATCTCTATATTTTACATTTCATTACACTATTGTATATAATAAGAAATCTTTTCATGTAGATAAGACAAATTATAGACCATGTCTATTTATATCAGATATTTTGTATGATAAATCTATAGTTATTAAAAACAGTGGTTTAGTATAAGAATATCAGAGAATATCCTGTCCTATGAGTTCTAGATGCAATATTGAACTCGATTATCTTGTACATATCTTGAAGTACTGATGTTGCATATTTGAATGCAGTCATTTAATGCCTAAAAATTAGATATAGATTGATCCAAATGGAATGGGTCGAATAGATAAAGTAAGGAAGCATCGATATGAGAATGTAAAAGAATAGCACATGTTAATTCAAGAGTTATATCATATGATTTTCACTTTACACATGCTGATAAAAAAGAGACTCTTGAAGATTGATTAAGATCTCGTGGTACTAAATACCCTTAACTGATCTCTGTCATTGATTTCGTTATTTTACAGAATCTTTTGTATGTTGATAGCCATTTTTCATTCATAAGTAAACATGTCTAAAAGAAACAGGGACACTCAAACAAAATTAATTTTCTTTCTAAAATTGTAAGTACGGCTACTGATCTGCACTGAGCACTAGCTCTGGTCAAGACAAAGATGGAGAGTAAAGACATCAATGGTCATCAGGATGGAATGGGAGAAATAAGTTAGCAGTATGCTTATTGAGCAATCAGCGCAAAGCAAGAAATCGGTTTTGTCAGCATTAGATATTAGCCCTGCCATTTTATATAAAATCTCTGCTTATGATTCTTGTCATGTAGTAAGCTATATTTTGAGCATCAATTGATATATTTAAAAAAGAAATAGAAGTTTACTCAAATAGAATTATTTTCTCCTTTGTAAAACTGTAGTTGCGGCTACTGATTTACACTAAATGCTTTCTTCGATGGGATAGAAAACGAAGAGATCGATAGTCTTTGAAATGTGATAGAGAAATAAGCTCTGCTTTACAAAGTATCTGTATATAGTAGGAGATACTCTAACTGGTAAAGATACTAACTAGAGTTTAATATTGAATAAGCACCAGTTACTGGCATTCTAAGCCATGAACGAAACTACTTACTGTAATTTGAATACTAATTGAAACATCTTATAAACTATCAGCAAAACAAGGAGTTAATTGTGAATCTCTATTCAGAGATATAGCATAACTATCGTAAACTAGTGACAACCTTTCAATTTATCTTGATGCTAATAGAACATATACTCAGGTGCGGTATTGATAGTGCAGCGGAGATTCGCAGTTATCTAATTATTAACCACTGTAAACAAAAATAAGATGCTAGTAGGCCTATTTATTTCGAGATTGTGGCTAGAGCTATCGTAAATTAATGTTAGCTTTCCAATCCATGGTAGCGATAATAGAATTGCTATCTTACTACAGTCCACTGTAATAATATATTTTCAAATACAGGCATACGGTACTGTAAGCAGTGTAGTTGATAATATAATTCCAAATGCTTCTACCGGTAGGAAAGTATATAACTGTAGGTTAAAATCAAGAAACTTTTAAACTTCATATGTATACTATAAAATAAGTGATATAATACATGCTATAATCGCTAATAGATAACATGATACTATAAAAGTCCTATTCAATTCTTCGCTATATATACAAGTAGTACTCTCTTAACAAATTTTTACACTAGAATAGTACAAATCTAGCGTTTCATAATACTAGTCGTTATGTACGAAAATTGCTTTATTAAGCACATCGATCAGTTTTACCTCGGATAATGCTTTAATTTATCTTACTAGTACACTTTAACACACATCACTACTGTAATTAGCTGAAATCATTGCGTATGATAGATCTGCTTAATCCAACGAATTAGTAAACCGACAATAGCAGTTGTGAATAGTAAAGTCATCGATGACTACCTTTACTAGCTTAAAATTTGGGGTTACGATACTCCTACATCCAAAATAAAGGACGGTGATCACTAAAGCAAAAGTGTAATAATTTAAAGGAATAATGATTCAAATATTTCTATGCTACTTTTCTAAATTTTAATTTTAATAGACGATGATAGTACTACGATGACTGCGAAAAGAAATCGAGAAAATAACCGACTCGTTAATCTTCTACGAAGGCGAATTAAAAGCGCATAGCTTGCCATTAACTAGTCAT